ACATATATATATATATAGATAGATAGGTTTTAATTCTATTATATGTCTTTTTAAATGGTATAAACAAGTATGATTCCTCCCATTAAAAAGGGGGGAGGGGAGCATCAGATGATGTCACTTCAGACAGCTTTGCTCTGTTCCCCCGAAGTGAAGAAGGTTTGAAGCTGCACAGAAATCAGAACAAATTTGCTGGGCAGCTTTAAATCCAACTTTTGACATTTACTGCCATTTCTGAAATGTTGACCCTGTTTTTAGATCCTCGGGATTTCTAACTATTTCACCATATTCACATTTTTTTGGTTATAGCAGCTATGAAAAAGTAACCATTCATAGCTCTGTGCTTTGTTTTCCATTTCTATTTCCTCAGATCCCCATATCCAAAGAAAAAATACTGGAACTAAGCTGTGAGGGCTAGAGTCTTCCTTTGTGACCACACAGCAGTTATGGATGAATGGACAGATACAAAATGATTAATTCTTTTTCTGGCTATCAGCTCAAAGATTTCTTCAGCAAGTGATAAAATACTGCTGTACATGAAAAATAGAATCCTTACAATCAGCTAGTCACTTAATGATAAATGGAAAGCGTATTTTATAACACACATTTGTGAAAGAACTCTCTCTTCATCTTAGAGCTTGGGCAGTGATTACATAATGTTCTCTGGCTCCTTGGGGTGACAGTCACCACCTAGTTTGACTGCCTGGATTCTGCACAGAATCACCCTTCTGGGGGCTTTCCTTTTGTTGAGAGGATCAAGTAAAGCTAGTTATGGACCAGAACTCCTGAACAAGAATTGGTAATACCTTTAACCCTCCTAGAACACAGTATCCTAAAAAACAGCGTTTCTCAAAATGTACTCTTTTTTTTTTTTATTAAATATTTTTATTGATTTCAGAGAGGAAGGGGGAGGGAGAGAGAGAGAGAAACATCCATGAGTAGAGAGAATTCATGGATCGGCTGCCTCCTGCACGTCCCCTACTGGGGATCGAGCCCGCAACCCGGGCATGTGCCCTTGACCGGAATCGAACCCGGGACCCTTCCGTCTGCAGGCCGATGCTCTATCCACTGAGCCACACCGGCTGAGGCTCAAAATGTACTCTTAAGGGGCACTTGCTCTCATATCATCGGGGACTCTGATTTGAAAATACAGGTTCTACTACCTTATGCTTCAAGAATTCCATCACTCCGGTCAGCTGGCTTATGTAATACGCATTCCAGTACTTTTACACTGCTCTTATCTTTTGCTGTTTCTTTAGCTCTTTTCTCACTTTAGGGTGAGAACCCACTGGAAGCAGTTTTATTGCCCCATTTTTCAATCTTGTCTTTTCAGTAACTGTTAATTCCAATAGCCATATCTGTTTATTTTTTTTTTTTTATCTCAACAAGCTGTGCTATTTTTTATTCTTTTCCTACATTTCCCCTTAACTATTTTCACCTTCCTCCACCTGTCCCAATTAGCACAAAACTCTTAGATGTGTAAAAATAGCTAAAAGTACTACCTATGTTTTGTATACCAGGTGAATTTGAAATTAATGCATGTTTTATGTTACAGGCAAAAATTATGTTTGTGTCTGTAACTTTGAACTTTGCAAAATCGTTTGTTATAGATGTGCAAATGTCAAAGAAGATACTTGATGTACTGAGTCAGATATCTCAGTTAAGTCGTTACTTAACTGTTTGGACTTGTGTTTAAGATTTTAGTAAGATAACATGGTAGGACCAAATGGTTCATAAGGACTCTTCCAGTTTTAAAATTCTATGCAGAGGCTAGGACTATATAATTATATTTGGCAGAAATTAAATTGTTTTCATTGTGGAAAATAACTACCTCCTCACCCTAACCAGACGGTTATCCTTCCTGTATTTTGCATGTTATGTTCCTTCCTCATATTAAGTAGCAATAGGTCAAAGAGAAAGGAGATGAATAGAGAGAGGTATTATGTAATAAATCAAATATTCATTTTGGGTTATGTCAGTGTAGAACGGGTGGGGGACATTTTTTCTGCCAAGGGCAATTTGGATATTTATAATATCATTCACGGGCCATACAAAATTATCAACTTAAAAACTAGCCTGCTATATTTGGGCAAACATTTAATTAGCTCACCCCTAGTGCCTTGGCAAGGCCAGACCAAATGATTTCACAGGCCTTATATGTCCCATGGGCCCGGACATCCCCACTCCGGCTGTAGAGCAATAGTTGTCAACAACTCATTTTGTTGTAATGCATAATTATGAAACACCTTTCTCAGTGTCCAGCCTGGTAAAGGCTAACGTTTGCTTCAAAGATATTCCATACGGCATGCCTTTTGCTGATAAATCATATTACCTCTTCTCGTACATTGGAGTTGTAGACATTCTTAAAAGGGATATTTTTTTTTTTTTAATCCTCACCAGAGGATATTTTTCCATTGATTTTTTAGAGAGAGTGGAAGAGAGAGAAATAAAGATCGATGTGAGAAACACATCAATTGGTTGCCTCCTGCACGAGCCCCAAACAGGGCTCAGGCTGAGGAGGAGCCTGTAATCTGGGTACGTGCCCTTGACCAGAATTGAACCCAGGACCTTTGGTCCAGAGGCCTATGCTCTATCCACTGGGCCAAACTGCCTAGGGCAAATGGGAGATGTTTATCAAATTAAAGTGTTTGTGGGGGCGAGAAGATGGGGCAGGATGGAAGCTTGAGAAAAAGTGAAATACTAACCCAGTAAGGTCTAAGTTACCCATCAGAAAATGGCTATTTGGGCCCTTATTCTTGACACTTACTGGCATTTCCTATTTGCATTAAACCGGGCTAGAGGGTTTTATAATTTAGCTTTTTTGGTGGTGGTCTTTGTTTTTCTGATTTTTTTTTTGGTGGTTGGGGGCAGAGGAAAGAAGGAACAAAATATGTGATGACATTTACTGAAATGTGTTGATCTTCACAGAGGGGATTGGGAGCTTGGTTCTCCTTGACAAGTGCATATCATTACCTAGTGTTTGTAAACATCAGTCTGTAAAAGCTTTGCAGGCATTACATTTGGTTCTCCATGAGGGTATTGATATGTGAAGAGAAGCTTTAGTACTGGGAGATAAATTATTTGCTCTGTACATGCCAAGTGACTTGGCAAGACCTCCTGTGTACACATGCCCCATCGGATACTGCTACTGCAGAGCGTGGACCAGGTTGCATATTATATAGTTGGAGGACAAGTTATCTGCTTGGGGTATTCCCAGTGTCATCTTAAACATATTTTCTCCTGACTAGACACGCAGGTATACTATCCTTGGCAAAATCATACACTTTTAAGACATTGTGGAATTCAACTCTCATGTAAGAAAGAGGTTTAAGTGTGTAGAAGTACTTTTGAACAGAAATATCTTTTGGAACACACAGTTATAAGCCTTTTTAAGTTGATTTAGAATTTAACTTAAGAGGTTTTCTTTATGTATTGCTGAAGTTTGACTTGCTTTTAATGTACATTGAAAATGTTATAAGTAGTAATTGTGGGACATTTTCTTTTAGTGCTATCGAATCGTAACTTAAATAACTGAGGTGTCTATTTGAAAGGCATGCTGTTTTTTCAACAGGAAATATTTTCTGAATTCACATTATAACTACTGGTACTTGGACTGCTTTGTCTATCTTTGTTATCAGTAGGGGATGATCCAGGAAAAATTTCTCCTCCGATACATTGATGAATTTATTCTCCTAAACTTGTTGGCACTTTTTATTAGTGCTCAGACTGAAGAAGTTAAGGACTTTGCCCTCGAAGATATTCTTCAGGCCATAACTGCTGTCTGTTAAATAAAGGATTTGACAATTTTGAATTTCTGAATGAGGTTGTTGTTTATACGTTGTAGAAAATAGTAATACTGCAGCTATATTTTCAAGAAGCTTATATTATGTGTGAAGACTTATTTTCTTGGCTCTGTTTTGTTTTTTGTACAAAGCTTAACAATGAGAATCACTTACAGGGTAGACTGCTGAAAGTTGAAAATTGGAAATTATATTAGAGATATGACCCTAAGAAAAATCATTGAAAAAATATGTAATTGTGATTATCCTCTTTAATCAGTATTTATGGTACATATTCTTAATTGCTTTTAGGAAAACTACAATAAAATTGTACTTTCTAACAATTGCATGAATAAAATTATTTTAAACAATTGAAGACTTTTTGTGCTCTTAAATTGAGTAGAGATAAAAATAACTTTTAGGGAGCATTTCTATATTCTACCATTTGGGAGGAAATCAAGAATATTCTTAAGCAGAAGAATTTCAGTCTTGAGTTACAGAAATGAGGAAATTACTCTTTATGATAGAGGGATTTCTAATTTTTCATTGATTTCTTTTTTTACTTTAATGCTGATAAGTTTCCAGCAGTAATTTTATGACTTAGAGCTAATGAAAATATATCAAGAAAAATTAATGTTGAAGTTAAAACACTAACATTTTGAAGTTAAATATCTTGGAAACTTGTTTGGGAAATTAATACTAAGTATGGTGTTATATATTTAATACTTTGAGGTTTTGAATATTTGCATAAGCCTTTTTGGCATAGTTTTGATGGATTTTTGTATTTTTGAATGTTTAACTTTTAATGCCAAAATCATTTTAAGAAACTTAAGTCTATGTTTTGCAGAATGAGTTAAAAATAGGTTAAATCTTGAATTTATTTTTTTCTTTAAATATGATTATAATGTTTAAAATTATCTATACTAATAAAAGGGTAATATGCTAATTAGACTGGGTTGACTGGACATCTTCTGGTTGTCCGGTCCTCCTTCCAGACAAAACCATGGTGGCGGGGCCGAGACAGAGGCGGTTAGGGGCATTCAGGCCCTCAGGGGAGCAGTTAGGGGCGATCAGGCTAGCAGGGGAGGGCGGTTAGGGGCAATCAGGCCAGCAGGGGAGGGCAGTGAGGGGTGATCAGGCAGGGAGGCAGAGGTGGTTAGGGGTGATCAGACAGGCAGGCAGGTGAGTGGTTAGGAGCCAGTGGTCCCAGATTTCAAGAGGGATGTCCGACTGGCGGTTTAGGCCCCACAGGGATTGGGCCTAAACCAGCAGTCAGACATCCCCCAAGGGGTCCTGGATTGGAGAGGGTGCAGGCCAGGCTGAGGGGACTCCCTCCACCCCTCCTTCCATGAATTTCGTGTTCCGGGCCTTTAGTTTAATATAAGAGCCAAAAAAGTGACATCCAAAAGAAGACCCATCTTTATGCTGGGAAAAATGATTTTAAGAGCTAGTTGATTTAAGATCTGCATTTCATAATATTTTGTTAGCCAACCCTTTTCTAGTATTTCTGTTCTGCTGTATATACTACTCCATCAGATTTTGTAGGAAAAAAATCATTTTTTTCTTGCTTTCATTTTAATGCTAGAAAAAATTTTCCCAGGCCCATCAGTTTCAGCTAGTGTAATGCTAGTCATATAAAGCAAAAAGGGCAAACTCCATGCCTCCTGGGCACAAGAAAATGAATTAGCAAAGCTGGGTGTTTTGCATATTAAACAAGTTAGAACATTGTTCATTTTTAATATGGATTCAGTGTTGCTCAGCCCTCTAATTTTTAAGCACTAGAATCAGGGTTTTTATTTGAAATATTATTGTTAAATATTAACTAATTCATACAAGCATTTTAGGCAAAAAGACACTAGAGGCCTGACATGGACAGCTGTTTTAGTTTCCTTTGTAGTGAAGAGCCGTGCTGGTAAATTATGGTCCATGGGCCCAAATATAGTCTGCTGCTACCAATTTTTATATGGCACATGAGCTAAGAATGATTTTTACATTTTTAAATGGTTGGGGGAAGAATCAAAAGAATATTTTTTTCCTTTTTGCCCCAGTCCCCTCAAGCAGAAGAGAGGTACAGTTCAGGACAATATTGTCAAGACTTTATGATTAAGAGTATAAATCCTGCCTTTACCACTGTGATACTTTGGTAAGTTATTTCAACCCTGTCTCAGTTTCTCCATCAGCAAAATAGGGAATATGATAATCTAAAAGCTTATCACAATGCTGTAACAGAGTAAGACTCCATAAATACTAGCCGCTATTATTGTTATTACTACTATTAGAGTTACTACAACTCTAACTTTGTTACAGGGTTTTCCATTCAAACAGTTTCATGATGCGAGACAAATGTAGTATCTATCCAGTTTTCCTTTTTGCTTTTGATTCAGCTTTGCAGATATCACTGGTTTTAAGTTAGCTTACCTTAAATATTTTTAGAAGTAACAGACTTTAAGAAATAAATTAAGCAAAGCAGTTATTAATTTTTTGCTTTTATAGATTAATGCCTCAAACCTAAAGCCATTTTCAGATACTGTTAGGTCCTACAGGCAAATGATAATACTGTAACCTGTATATTAATTTGGGCAAGTCAGAAATCCTCCCAAGCTTGTGTCCTCATTTGTAAAATACAGTTGGTGGTACCAACTTTGCATAGTGTTGTGAAAACAACACTCTGTTGAAACTGTCAAGTGTTAGTGCTTTTGCCCATTTTATTCCCTTTATTCTTGCTTTGTAATATTACTCTCCCTCACATGTCAATTATATAACAACTAGAGGCCTGGTGCATGAAATTCGTGCACTGGGCAGTGTGGGGACGGGGAGGGTGTCCCTCAGCCTAGCCTGTGCCCTCTCGCAATCCGGGAGCCCATGGGGGATGTCTGACTGACGGCTTAGGCCAAGCGGGCCTAAACCATCAGTTGGCCATCTTTAGTACTGCTGTGGAGGCGGGAGAGACTCCAGCCACAGCTGCTTGCCAGCTGTGAGCCTGGCTTCTGGCTGAGTAGTGCTGCCCCTGTGGGAGTGCACTGACCACCAGGAGGCAGCTCCTACGTTGAGCGTCTGCCCCCTGGTGGTCAGTGTGATGACTGGTCATTCTGATGTTCAGTTGATTTGCATATTAGCCTTTTATTATATAGGATATTCTTGCTATTTCACACATAGGCCCCCACCAACTGGAGAGGATGCATTCCTACAACATAAAAACTCTTTAGCACAGTGAATTTCAACCAGTGTGTCATGAGAATTTTTAAAACATACAATACCTGATTATTTAGTCAGGGGGACTGACCCCTTTTCACATAGATTTAAAAAAAAAAAAATGACAGCCAATACAATAACCGTCTGGTGTGAATGACTCAAAATTGTATTTATTTTTGTCAGATTGGCAAAAAATATAATATATTTTTTGGTGTGCATAGAATTTTAGTAATTAGTTTATGTGTGCCATGAAATGAAAAAGGTTAAAAAATTGCTTTAGCATTCAGAAGCTAAGTAACATTGTTTTCTGTTTTTGTAGCATTCTTTACTTAGCTTAATAGAAGGCAGCTGGATTCACATATCAGCTTCTGCAGCCGGCCTGTTGTACTATCATCCACTTAGCTTTTGGAAACTCCACTGTACACTAGTCTGAGAGTAATGAAGAAAACATTGTCTTAGTTTTATTATAAGAATAGTTCTAACAGGTGGGTCCTGTGAAAGGGTGTTCCTAGACCACATTTGGAGAGCTTCTCTAAATACTTGCATATACTGCTGATTCATTGTTTGTGGGTTTTTTTCTGTTTTTTGTTTTTTGCAATATGTATTGCCTACTGGCTTCCTAATAATAAAAAAAGTGAATATTTAGCTTTTTCTATATACTTTTCTATATTGCACATAATCTATTTTCCTGGTATAGTTATAGTAATTTCTGGTTAAATTTATATTCTTTGTTTTTATAATTGACATAAACATTATTCACATCTGAGTAGTATAGAATGACTTTATACTACCTTTCTCATACAAAACCTTTTTATTATTTGATAATTGCTCCTTAGACTGAGAGGGAGAATTGCTTATTTTTCTATGTACTTATTGCTGATTCATCTTCAGACTCTCTGACAGTAGTATAATTGCTTTTCTGTATGTACAGACTTATCAGGTAGCTTGATCATGTTTCCTGTTTTCTTGGTGATAGTCCACTTGTTATTCTTCAGTGTTATCATCTAGACTGGTTACACTCCAACCATGTTGCTATGCAGATGTCCTGAGGGTAATTGTTATCCTGGATTTGAATGAACTTTGCCTCCAACCCCTGTTGGATCGATAGTTTTATGAATCTGAGATCAATATTTTTGAAACCATGCATGCCTGAGAATCTTGATCCTCACATTTAATTAATAAATCATCTGGGTATAAAATTCTAGGTTAGTAATTTTTCCCTCCAGCATTTTGTTATCTTCTGGTCTGATGCCATTCTAATTCCTGGTTCTTTGAACATGGCCAATTTTGCTTTACTTTTTTCCTCTAGAAACTTCAGATGTTTTTCCTTGTGCTTTCAACTTTCAAATTTTTATTGACATAGTTTGCTGTCATTCATTTTTATTCTCTGTATTTAGGTTTATTTTGTTTATTCTTTTTACTATTACTCTGTCCAGCTTTCAGGAAGATGTAAAGATAAACATTTAACTGGAAATCAATAGGACTTTGAATTTTGCTATCTTGATAGCTTTTTAAAGATTTATTAGACTATGTCTTAAACATCAAAAATGGACTTAATGATAATTAATAATAGATAATGGAAACCAGCTGCATTATTAGCACTAGTTTAAGGTCAGACAGGATTGCCTGGAGAGAGAGATATAAGGCATTTTCTGGTTTTCCTCTTTAAAGCTCCAAAACTGTCTTCTTTAGAGTAACAACTCATCACCAACTTTGTGGTTTTGCCTTGTGGCTTTATCACTCTTAACTTTACTTAGGCTTCATTTTGTACTTAATATCTTTTTCATTTATTTTGACATGCTTATATAAGCTGTTGTGCCTGAATTATTTTTCTTTATTGTTTTTTGCTTCTGTGCATATGATTTTAATACTTTTTTATTACTATGCTTTGATGAACAGTAGATAAAAATCTGGCACAGCACTTATTATGTGTGTGGTTTAATTGAGGTAAACCCATTATGATGCAGAATTCTGTAGAAACTCAGGCTATGTTTTTGTTGTTGTTGGATATGAGTATTATCCAGTTTTGACATCATGTCACTTTACCTATTACCAGAATTAATTTGCCTGAGTTGTTAGTCAGGTGGTTGACCTAATATCTTCATGCTTCCTCTTCCCTAAGATGCACATGGAGTCAGATGATATTTTAGGCTTTATTAGTTCTGTGATAATACACAAATAATTTTACTTAACTTTTCTGGCTTTCATTATATTTATAAATATAATATAAAATGATGTATTGGACTAAAATGCCTTTTCATGGTCCTTCCACATGGAAGCTTTTCTTTCTGAGAACTAAACTGATCATATATTCAGAGACACCTATTGCATGGCCAGACACTAGACTAGGAATTTTTAAGTTACTAAGCGGCCCCAACGTTTGAGAAGCACTTAGTGTAGCTGAGATAGACTAACCAATTATGTAAACCAAATTAATCACAACCTATTTAAATGTCTGTATCTGCTTTCACAAGAAAACAACACCCTTGTATCCAAGAGCTAGAAGGCTGGTGGAATGAGGGAATAAGATCAAATGACTACTGAGTATTTATTGTAGATGCATTTGATACTTAGGCATAGGGTTCAAAGCACTTTTAATTTTATTTTATGTGTTAATCCTCACACCAGGATATTTTTTTTCCCATTGATTTTTAGAGACAGTAGAAGTAGCAAGGGAGGGAGGGAGCGAGAAACCAGAAGAGAAGAAGAGAAACAGAAAAGAAGAAACAATAATGTGAGAGAGACATACGGATTGGTTGCCCCTGCACACGCCCAGACCAGGGCTGGGGATCCAACCTGCAACCCAGATGCTTGCCCTTGACCAGGAATGGAACCCACAGGGTGACACTCTAACCACTGAGCCAGGGCTCAAAGTACTTTTTACATTTCACTCTATAGAGACAAATATCCCCCATCTCAAGAACTGGATTTATTTTTCTAGTAGTCATGTATTAACTTTGAAATTTTTCAACTTGGTCAGAAGATACAAGTTTCCATTTAAATTATTTTATGCTTTTAATAGAATATACTAGGAATTTTCTTATAAAAATTCTGCATTTTAAATGGCATTATTCATATTTGAATATGAATGTGTAATTCTCTTGTTGAGTAACATTAAGATCCAAGGTTTAAACAAAAATGAGTCTAGAACAGGTTTGCTTTCCCCCCTCTAATCTTTACACTTAATGTTATAGTGAATTATAGAAATTATTATTCCTATCATACCTAAAATTTTCAGAAAGACAGTTGACATTCTTATTAGGAACAATATGAACTCATGATTAGGCAGTGGCAGAAGAAACCTATTTTGACCAATTTATTCCTGGTAAAGGCTACAATTCACAATAAGTAGCATATGTAATACCATTGTTTATAAATCTGCCTGTAAGTGCTGGTCTAGACTTTCCTTTTGACTACCCATTGCCTTTAAATCTCACCAATATGAATTTTATATATATATATATATATATATATATAAAAGAATAAAAGATTTTTAAGGTACATATTCATATATTAATATTCTGCTTTGTTCCTAATGATATAAAAGAGAGTGAGTTATGATCTAGCACTAAAAGCATTTACAGCCTGATTTTTTATTTCTGACCTATTTTCTAAACATAGACCTGTGCTGATTATATAGAATGAATGCCAATATGTGGTTCAGATTTTATAGATTTCTTAAAATAGTTAGATTGTGACACAATGGCTTTAAATTTTAATTTCTTTTTGTGCCTGTATTGCTGCTTGTATATTGTAGGATTTTTTAACAGTAAAGGATGTTCATTAATGAGAAATGTGTTTTGTAGACATTGTAATTTTAGATTAATTTCTCATTTTTAAATCTCCCCCTATTCCAAGTACAGAATAGTATAATAACTCTATTCATGTAATGATAGTCACTTGAAAAACTGCTTTCTTTTGCTATGTCAGACACAGCATTGCCCATGTGGACTTTTGTCACCATAGCTGAGATTGTAGCAATCTTGTTTGAAAAGTCAAATACTGATTTAAATGAATAAGAAAATGCAAACAAACGTTTGCTGTCTTTATAGCTTAAAAATAATAAATTGGAGCAATCTCTGACATAACTTTTGTGCGTCTAAGATTATAGTTAGGAGAGCATTTTGGAATTTTTAAAGTAGATTTTAAATGATAACCAAGGTTTTTGTTTGTTTATTTTAAAATTCTTACTGGAATGGAAAGGGATTTAATTTTGTTGTCCAGTAATGTAAGTCTTTTTGCAATTGGCCTTTTCAATAGTAGATTGCTTTTTTTTTTTTTTTTGTAGATTGCTTTTTATTTGCTTCAACCTTAGTAGATTTTTATTTCAGCTTATCTCTCTCAGCTAAATCAGCTGGTGAAGGAAATGACAGCTGTCATTTATTAAGTTCGTATTTACTATGTACCCAACAATGATTTAAATGCTTCATATATTTTCTCATTTAATCCCCACAACAACCCTATCAGATAACGCACACTTATGATGAAGTAATTGAGATGGGAAAGTTAAAATACCACTTGTCCAGCTGTTTTTCGTCCTCTAAAATTTTGACATTTCTTGTCTGATATCAATCTTATTTTTCTCTTCTTTTTCTTACAGATTTTTACCTTTTTCAGCTTCTTTAGTATCATTTAATTGGGTCTTAGGAAAAATAAAACACACACACAAAACCTGTCCTTGCTGTTCATAAGTTGAGAAAGGAAAGGAATTCGAGTTTACTGGAGTATTGAATACTGGAAAGTTTGGCCTTTTTAGGTATACAGTTCTGGCAATTTTGACAAGTGTATACAGTCATATACAGAATATTTTCCTCAAATCCCCCACCCCCCCCAAAAAAAAAAAAAATCCTTCATATCACTTTGTATTCATTCCTGTCTCTCACTCCTGTCCCAGTTTTCTGTTCCTAGAGTTTGCCTTTTCTAGAATGTCATATAGATGGTATTATAACCTATGTAGCCTTCCGTCATTCTCATTGTTTTATCTTTTCTGGAAACTGGGAGTTGTCTGGAACAGCTCTTTGATTCCTGTAGCCCTTGGACCAGAGTTTTCTTTGGGCTTATCCAATCCCTGCTCTTCTCTGCCACCATTTTTTTTTTATTTGCTGATGCCAACTGTTTGGATTTGTTTTTAGTAAAAGAATGCCTGTTCTGTTATTTAAAAAATTAAGGTGCTTTATTAACCATATTAATCTAGTCTCTAAAACCCAGAACTCAAAATCCTTTATATGGGGAACTGGTTTAGACCAGTTGTTTTATAAAATTGGGTTCTCGGAAGGGAGCATCCCTAGTCATAGCTAGAAATGAAGGTCAAGGTTCAAAACCCTGTGATGTAGAAAAGAACTTGGAATGTTTTGTTTTCAACTAGGGACAAAAATGATGCGAAAGGAGTTGAGAAAACTAGACCATTAATCAGAAATCCATTTTTAAAGATTTGAATCATCTGATTTTTCAAAATGTTGGAGACTAATTCTGTATTTTGGAAAACAGTACACAGACCAAACGGCACATCCATGGGCAGCTGGCCTGTGCATCCCCATATTTATCCATATTACCACATGAAAGGGTTAAGGAGAATAAAACGGGAAAGAGAAAAACTTATTGTGCTTAGCAGATATCTTGCAGAAAGCTTGCAGCCTTGAGCACCGCATAGTCCAGAAAACCACTAGCTATCTGACGCTGGGAGGAACCAAGGACAACTGGACCCTTAGCGGCTTACAATCAGCAAAAATTAATAAAAACCTTTTCTCTCCCTGCTCTCTTTGCTGACTCCATTTTGTCAGACTCAGCCCACCTGCACACAGGTGCCTGGAATAAAATCTTTTCTTATATATATATGTTTCTTTATTGATTTCAGAGAGGAAAGAAGAGGGAGAGAGAGATAGAAACATCAATGATGAGAGAGAATCATTGATTGGCCGCCTCCTGTATGCCCACCACTGGGGATCGAACCCAAAACCCAGGCATGTGCCCTTGGCCGGAATCGAACCTGGGACCCTTCAGTCCACAGGCCAACGCTCTATCCATTGAGCCAAACCAGCTAGGGCAATAAAATCTTTTTTGATACATTATGGCCTCATGTCATAGGTGCATGACCCCGGCCCACTCTGAACCTTTCACCAAGTACGTTTTCAAATGTGCATTTCTAAATAACTAAATTTAGTTCAGAAGGTTCAGTAGCTCATGTTACTCTGAGTTGAATAAATTATATTGGTTCTTTTCTATATTTCTGTCTCATTTTTATACCTGAAGTGTTTATGATGTCACTTTTTTTTAATGTAATATAATTTTTAACCCTAAGAGATATTTTTTTTTCTTAGTACTTTGGTTCTTAAAGCATTGTTCATTTGCTATAATAATGCAAAATAGTATATCTGAGAGCTTTTGAAAAAATGTTTTTTTCATTCTTCCTAAAAAGGAGGCTCAAATAGAAGTGCCTGAGTATGTAAATTGCTTTGTTAGTATGGGATCAGAATAAAAATTAGATGAAAACCGTTGCATTTTGTCTGAGTTAAGTTTATAACTGAAGCACATTTCTGAGGCTCCTTAGGGAAATGATTAAGGTGACCTAATTCTTAACTAATTGAAACACCAGAAGAGATTTTGTCCTTCATTTTGCTTAAGATGTAATTAAGCAATTTTACTTTATCATAAAGATTTATTTGAACTAGAAATTAGTACCGTGCAAGACTGAAAATGCTTTTGAATGCCGTGTCTTTCTATACCTGCTGTTGAGGAATGATTGTAGGCCAGCGTGTGCTTAGTGTCTTCAATTATAAACTGGGGTAAAAACTTGAGGTTTTAGAAAGATTAATGAAATGATAATTGTACAGCACCTGCGGGAGATCTCTTACCTCACATTAGCATAATTTAAGGTGAACCAGTTTTATTGCAGTACATAGGGAGGTTATGTTTCTGCAATTTGTTTTAAATTAGGCCAGGTAATGTTATATACCCCAGTGAAGAAGCTCCTGTTCACGAGTGATTTTCTTGTTGATTTTTTGTTGTTCTTTAATTAAGAAGTAATCATAGCACTGGCCAGCGTGGCTAGAGCACCAGCCTGCGCACCTAAGGGTCTAGGTTCGATTCTTGGTCAAGGGCACGTACCTGGGTTGTGCGTTCACTGCCTGCCCCCCATCAGGACATGTGTGGGAGGCAACCAGTTGATGTGTCTTCTCTCACATAGATGTTTCTTGTCCCTCCTTCCCACTGTCTCTGAAAAAGCAATGGAAAAAATATCCTCAGTTGAGGATCAATAAACAAAAAAAAATTTAAATAATATAAGCATACAAAAACAAAGAGAATCTAATATTTTATATTTTTAAAGTCTTAGTATTTACTCTATGTATTACGCATATTACTTGGTTTGTGTTTTGTTTTGTCTTTTGTTCAGCATTATGTTTCTGAGATTTATCTCAAAATCAGCAATGCTAGTTGATTTCATTTTAACTATTATTATATGAACCTACAATACTTTATTCTCCACTTGATGGATATTTAGGTTATTTCCAATATTCTTAATGACAATTCTACAGTAACCGTTATTGGAGTTATATCTTTATGTATGTGCACAAAAGGATATCTAAGGCTATAGTCCTAGGAATGGAATTGCTGGTCATAGGTATGTATCTTTAATTTTATTAGATGCCGCCAAGTTATTCCCCAAAGCAATTGTACTGACTCCTGTCAATTCTATGAAAGGTTTCAATTCTCATTGTTCCATACTTCTCCAGCCTTTGGTGGTGTTAGATTTTTATTGCCTGATATATAGGATTTCTGTTGATTTTTCCCTCGTTCCCCATATTGAAATAAAATTTACATGCAATAAAATTGACCCATATTATATGTACAATTTAATTGAATTTGTGGTAACTGTATAAAGTCGTATTTCACCAAAACATTCAAAATATGAAACATTTCCATTAGGCTAAAAGGTTTCCTCATGTCTTTTCAATCTTCCTTCACCAGCCCTTGGCCATGGCAACCACTAACTTGCTTTTTGTCACTATAGTTTTGCCTTTTCTGGAATTTCATAAATATGGAATCATGCAGTAAGTAGTCTTTTGCATTGGGCTTCTTTCACTTGCATGTTTTTGATTCATTATAAATATACCACAATTTATCCATTCATCAGTGGATATTTGTGTTTCTATTTTGAGACAATTATGAATAATGACTCAGTTGATTTTTAAATACTGATCTTCTACAGTCTTGCTGAACTTTTAATTGGTTTGAATAATTTGACTTTCGGATTTTCTACAGTTATATCATTTACACCTGGCAGTTTTGTGTTCTCTTTCTTAATCTTTATATCCATTCGTGTTCTTGTCATTTGTGTACTAGCTAGGATCTCTAGTACAATGTTGAAAGGAAACAAAAAATCAATTTTAGTGGGCATTCCTCATATTTTTGTATTGAAAGGGCATGGTATAAGTCTGAAGTTTCACCATTAAGGGTGAGGTTTGATACAGGTTTCTTATGACTAGCTTTATTTATGTTAAGGAATCTCACCTCTTTTTTGCAAAAAGATTTTATTACGAATGGGAATTGGAGTTTGACAATTGTATTTTCTACATATTTTGAGATGGTTGAGGGGTTTTTCTTCTTAAATTTTATATGTGGCTTTTTTCTTTAAGCTTACTCTTTCAAGTGTTAAAATTTAATTATTTAAAATACACTTAATAAATTGCTAGTTTAAAACTTATCTATCTTGAATATTCTTTAATTCCTCTCCATGACACAGATTGTAATATGGCATGTCATTTATTTGTCATGCATAAGTTAACTTTGGCTGTAAATTGCTTAAGATATGAGCCATGTCTTAATCAAGATATGAGTCAGGTCTTAATCACACTTGAATTTCCCATAGGTTCTAGCACAGTACATTGCAAATAACAGGCCCTTAATAAATGTTGAACAGGGCTAAGTACTTAGGGCTGCTGTTCTTTGCTAAATAGCCACAAATTCATATGTTGCACCACCCGTATCATTATCATGCTGGCTACTAATGTAACTTACATGGGTTATTTAGGAAAAATTAAGCTTAAAGAAGATACAGATTTTATTCACCCATCAAATATTTGTAGAGAACCAACTAAATGCCAAGGTTGGCTGTAAGCTAGCAGTACTGCCTAACGACAGGGATCCATACTGAGAAATATGTTAGGCGATTTTGTCATTGCGTGAACATTATAGAGTATACTTGCACAAACTTAGATGGTGTAGCCTCCTACATACATACCTACGTTATATGGGACAACCTGTGGCTCCTAGGCTACAAGCCTGTTACAACATGTCCTGTACAAAACAATAAGAGATTAAATCAAGCACAAGAGAAGATGATGCAATCAAGATGAGGTGGCAAGTGCTCGCTTCAGCGGCACATATACTAAAATTGGAACGATACAGAGAAGATTAGCATGGCCCCTGCGCAAGGATGACACGCAAATTCATGAAGCGTTCCGTATTTAAAAAAAAAAAGATGAGGTGGCAAGATGAGGTGGACAGAAGATATATGAGGCTGTTTCCATTGTAACATGGCATGGTGCTTTACAGCAAACTTTTTGTTTTTAAATAGATTTTTATTGATTCCAGAGAGGAATGAAGAGGGAGAGAGAGATAGAAATATCAATGATGGGAGAGAATCATTGACTGGCTGCCTCCTGCACACCCCCTACTGGGGATCGAACCTGGGACCCCTCATTCCCCAGGCCAATGCTCTAGCTAGCCACTGAGCCGAACCGGTTAGGGCCAGCAAACCTTTTTTTGATAAGTGAAAAAAAGAGTACACTCTAAATAAGAGATTAAAAGTATACTCTAGTAAATACATGAGTGTAGTGTATGGACTTTGGCTCCATAACTTGGCGATAATTTTCTGATTCATAAGCCGTGGTTCACAACGTTGTGCTGAACAATGGTCTGTGGATAAGTATTTTATAAATTCTTTGAGAAACTTAAATTTTTTGTCTTACTGTCATAGTCTTAATGTTTTATTTGTTTTGCTTTTTTTTTTTTTTTTTTTTTTTTTTTTTTTTTTTTTTTTTTTTAGCTTCAACAAAACATTTATTTCTCACAGTCTAGAAGCTGGAAAGCCCCAGATCAAGGTGTAGGCAGATTCAGTTCTTGTGAAAGCCTGCTTCCTGGTGTAGATGACTATTTTCTCTTTGTATCCTCACATGGTGCAAAGCAGAGACCTTAAGAAATTTTATTGATTTTAGAGATGGGGGTGGGGAGGAAACATTGATGTGAGAGAGAAACATCAATCAGTTGCCTCCCATATGCACCCCAACAGGGGATTGAACTCACAACATAGATATGTGCGCTGACCAGGAATCAAACCTGCAACCTTTTGGTGTCTGGGATGATGCTCCATCCAGCTGAGCCACTCCAGATACCTCTCCTTTGGTCTGCCCCATTGACTTCTCCATTCTCATCTCTTGTACCCTTTCCCACCATATTGGGCACTCTAGCCATACCACATGAAGCCCTTGGAGATACACATTTTAGCTTGATGATTTTATTCATTTTTTTGCCCCTTAACTCTGTCTTCTGTGTGAGTAATGAATATTTGTTCTTCAATATTCCATTCCAGTAGGTTCTCCCTTGGGTAGTCTTCTTCAAACAATATCATCCCTTCTTCTGTGCTCTCTACATTCTTTATTAGAACCCATGCCATATTTATGTTCTCTTTGCATATTTATTTTCCAGACTGATTTTGTATGATCTCCTCTTGACAGAGGCTATCTAACCAATGCCT